TATCAAAATTAATAACATATTTTAATGATGAGTATTTACTTAGTTATCATTTCATTTTCTTAGCTATCTCTTACATTTTGCCTCACATTATATGTAATCATAAATTAACAATAAACAAGCCATCATGAGAAGTACACTAGGAATTTTGGCATGTCTTAGAGTTAGTGAGCTCTTAGAAGCAGAATGAGGATCTTAACTTTTTGATGAGCACTGCTTCCTCATATCAAAATTTGAGCATATATCCTTGTGGTTAGGATAACATCTTTGAATAACAAATTCTGTAAGCATGGTCGTCTACAAATCTCATGTTTGAATCGACAACCTACACAGATTTAACTTCCTTGTAACTATACATTCTTTAGCGATTTTTGTAATGCAATGTATAACTATTCTCATCAATTTAGGTTTCATGGTCCTCATCATTCGTGTCAAGCATTCAACAAGCATGCAAGTGTATTGCATGTATTTGCACATAAGTTGTTAAATCTAACATTAAACTACAAATATGTAATATTATGAATAAACATAACTTTAATTTTTCAATAATTTGTTTAATATAAAGAATCATCCAAATTAATTATTGCCGAAGCATGCATTGAGTATTCTGATGGCATTTATTTAACCTAAATTTGGTGTAGGAGGGATGATTGAAAGGATGCTGTGATATCAAATTAATGGAGGTGGAAGACAAAAGTGAAATTATGAATAGAAGATAAAAGAAGAGAACTTCATGCACGTAAGTTGTTGAAGTAAACTCTGCATACATTACTTGAGCAAAGGAGAAAGTACCAACTTAGCCTAGAAAATTCATTCTTTCATTCAATCTATATAAAGGCCACTCAATTAAACCTTATTTGTAAAGAAACAAATCTTAAGGATTGGGGTATAAAGTTCTTATTCAATAACCTAAAATAAGAATAATCTCATCTTTAACTTTTATTACATAAAAAATGAATATCCAAATTTTGGCACAAGAAAGGGCCTAAAAGGCCTTAAAAACTGGTAGTTTTTATTTTTTATTTTTATTTTTTAAGTTTTACTACTTTTGGTTGGCTTATGAAAGTCTAATTTTTCGGAGCTAAACTAGCTGATTTGTACAACATCAATTCGCTAGACTAGTAAAGAAATCTATCCGGAAGAGTTTGAATGGATGACATGGAGGAGGCAATGGAGTTGGCTCATGTGCAATTTGAAGATCCTTGAGAATTTTTTCGAGGGATCTGGTGGAGCTGGCAGCACTTGAATAATGGCAGTAATCATCCTCAATGATGATGCCCATGGTTTGAGAACAACTTATGCGAACACAACTTAACTTGTGGAGAACCAACAAACAAGAGCATAGATTCGAGGGCATCTCAGCCAATTAAGATTAGCTTAATTGTAAAACTAAACTTGTAATCAATCAGTAGATATAAAAGCCCAATATCCATAAGACTTCTGTGAGAATCATGATACCGGATGGACATAAAATAATGCTTTCATGGTAACATAGTGATTGCAAGGTTTATCGTTCTAGGAAAGCTAGCAAGATCAATACCTAGTATTGATCAATTTAAAGTATACAATATTGTCTTTGATAATCATCATGAACCGAAGTATCAAAATCAAGGGCACAGTTATTATAAGCAATCAACATTTTTGTCTGTTTGATTCATATGCCAACATGCAGATGTTGCAGATGCATCATCATATTTGGATTGTAAAATAAAATCAGTTTGCTCACGCGTAGGCTTAGTTTTTGACTCAGGGTTTTGTTTTAATTCAAATTTTGTCATCATGCAATCTTCTAAACTCATTTTTTTTTTTCACAAGAAAGAAATTAATAACTAAAACATCTCCAATCAGTTCTGTTATGAATTCATGAAGGTTTAAAATCCTCCCTTGAAAGTGTGCTGATTCTGGTTTGACTAAAGGAATGGTAGCACATTTATTAATGCCTGCTTTTGGTTTTTTGGTGAATTTTAAGAATGATTTAAATATTTGCAAACCAATGGATATAGCAATTTTAACAACTGTCTTATAAGCATCATTTAAAGGGAATATGGATAAGTGAAAGGGTAAAAGAAACGTAGCAAAATAAAGAAATGAAATGAACACAAACTTCTCATTAAAGGATGGTTGATCTAAGTCAACAAATCAAGGATCAAAGAGTTATCAACAAGCATACCCCATAAAAAGAAGAAACTCTTCTCCAAATATGTTTTATATTTCAGAATACGGTCCTTACAACCTAAATTTCATAATTATTTATAAGTTCTTACAAACATGATCCTTAAGAAGAATATGAAAATACTTAGGAATATAATAGGTTATATATGAATATAAAAAACATATACATGTGTCATGGCACAAAATAAATAAATAAAATATGAAATATGAACTATTAGATCTTTAATCTTTCTTCTCCTCATATTAATGGTATAAAATTACAATTCTTCTTGGTGAAACTACGTCAAGTTCATTCTATGTCCTTATGAAGAAACTATCTCAAATTCACTCTAAATCTACATGTAGAACGTACTTTAAGTCCACTACAAATCTTCATGGAGAAGCTACTTATGTCATTCTCACTGTCATGGCCATCCAAGGCTTTATGCAAATGATAAAATTACCCTTGATGTGGCTGCCCTATTAAAAAATGCATGACTAGCATTAAAATTTTCATGCAAGGTGGCAATAAGTTGTTCTAGCATGCATATATCTATTCTCTTTTTTCTTCCACTTACAACTTTAATCAAAGAGGAATAACTTGACCGCATGAAATAAAATGATTATATGAGAAACACATGAAAATGTAGGAAAACATAAAAAAGATTTTGTTCATGAAGTACTTATGTAGAAGACCATCCATTCAGCCACATCAATGCTATCCATTCTTTCTTTTCTTACTTTAATCTCCCTTACCTTTGCTACATCAACATGGACGGTTGTGGTGAGCTTGGCTTGGACCATCCCTTCAGCTGATGACTTGACCTCTGGCCTTTGTTAGTTGTTCCCTTAGGCTTTTAAAAGAAAGGCCTATTCATTTTATTTTTTTATTATTTTTCTATTTCTATTAGTTACTGCAATTTTGGTATGTGAAATTAATCTAATTTCATGGAGTAAATTTTGATGGAATCAATCTTACCTCTCTTTTATTTGCTTTGAATGTCTACATTTCTGCTTCCTATGATCTACAGATTTCTTTGCAACCACAAAGGGCCTTTTTGGTTGCATCCACTCATCTTATTCATAAAGCTGACTTTCTATCTAGGTTTTTAAGTCATTATCTGATTAGTTCAATTAAAAATTTAATTTGATCTATGATTGTTGCGGGCTAGAATATACGCGGCGATAGAGTTAGAATTTTTCGTCTCAGCGTTGTATGGATATCCAACACACAAACAGAAAATATATAAAACACAAGAATTTTTATGTGGAAAGCCCTGGAAAGGGAAAAAGCCACGGGGCCACGCCCAGTTGAAAGAATTCCACTAGTGTTTGCTTGAGTTACAAGTGGCTGACTCGTCCTTAAAATTTAGGACGAACAGATTACAATAATCAACTCCCAGGTTGAAATTCAGTTGCACACGGATATCATAATGCTGGTATCAGAAAACAGGTGTCCGTTATTTGTCGGAGAGAGTTCTAATGTTACTTGGAGGTTCGATGGAACTCTGGCGTCACTTGAAAATTTGGCGGAACTCCGGCATCACTTGAAAGTCGGGCGGAACTCCGATGTCACTTGAAAGTCGGGCGGAAATCCGATGTCACTTGAAAGTCGGGTGGAACTCCAGCGTCACTTGAAAGTCAAGTGGAGCTCCGATGGTGGTCGAGGAGGAGCTTCTTCCCTCCTCTTCTTCTCTTCTCCTCTTTTCTTGCTTTGGTCCCCTCTTAAGAGAAATGATGGGCTATTTATAGTTTTCTGAGAATGACATGACCCGTAAATAGGAGGATCCCTTAATCGTGGACCGTTCGTCAGACATTTGAAGGTCTTAATGATATCGGAATTCGGCGATATTGGGCTCGTTGGATTCGTCTCGTCGAGCCGCTTGATTCAACTATAAGCATGTCATGTTTTGAAATTGTTTGGTAATCCAAATTGTGGTTTGAACCTTCCAACAGCTCTTCGGGTCTTCGATTCGAACCCAATTGGTCTCGGATTGAGTTGAATTTGGTGTCGTTGGGTTTGTATTTCCGAGATGTTCAGTTCGACTGTAAGTTTGCTAAAATCGGAGTTCAGATGATCGCAGATTTAATTTTTGAAACTTTCGATCTGATTTTGCCTCGAGATTCGTGTTTGATCAAGATAATTTTTTGATGATATATCAATGATATAATGCATCAGCTATTTTTCCTCAATTCATAGGCCAAATTTTGGCATATGTAATAATATTAAAGTAACAATTTATTTTTAAAGCATAGCTTTTGTCTTTATATGTCATACATGATAAGGATCATTTACGTATGAGCAACATTTGTTGGCCTTTTGCTGTGCAAAATTTATATTTCATATTTCATTGAAAATTTTATGTTTCTTGTGCGATGTCATTATGTGAGTACTTTATTCTAAGTTTCCAAAATTTACTTTTGTGCTGTTTGTGATGCGGCTTATTTTTGTACGTGCATATACGAAATTTCAGTCATTCTTTTCTTCTGACTAAAGGCTATTTCCTGTGTTGTTGTTGATTCATGGCCTAAGTATGTTTTTATATAAGTTAGCATGTACGTGTGAGATAATTCGGATTGTCTTTTCATATATGTATTTGATGCCTACTGGGATGCATTTTAAGGTCGTTGTAGAATTCAGTATCTAATTTATCCTATTAGTTGTAAATTTTTTTCCTTATATGATTATTTCTTTAGTTCTAGTTTCTTTTGTAGCAAAAATTATTTTCATCTAACTTGCAGGTTTCCTTTAAATTAGCGTTGCAGCCCTTAGCTCTGCATCTTCTCATTCCTGTTATCTTTCTTAGGTTGTTGATCATAGTAGCTCTCATCTTATATTTACTGCAAAGCAGGTTCGTTGAGCTGTTATGGCAGCTTTCTGTGCATGCATTGCGGGAGGTTCACAGTCGCACATTTGCTGCTGATGTAGCTTCTAATCCACTTCCTGCTTCACTCACGGATTCTTCTTATCTTCATGCTGCTGCATTACTTCCTGTAACCAAGGTATTCAAACTATTAGCATGCAGTCATTATTTCTCACTTTTGTTCTTCCCTTTTTTTTTTCCATTTGAGTAATGATGTACTTTTGTTCTATTGATCCATTTCAAGACCTAATTGAGCTTTGTGAATGGCTTTTTAACGATTTTGCTCTTCCCTTCAGTTAAATTCTTTGATATCTTGCTTGTGTTTATTTTGCTTTTCTATATCCTGAATGTGAAAGATCTGTTATTTTTGCTCCATTTCTTTTTTGAGCACAATATAATCAAAATTTCAAGTTGCATTTTTAATATTTACATATTTATGTGGATCTTTCATGCATCGCAGGCAAGGATCGCAGTTGAGAGAAGAAAGTTCCTGAAAAACGCAAATATTGCTGTACATAGGCAAGCTACTTGGTCTAACTTAGCTAATGAAATGACTGCTGAATTCCGTGCTCTTTGTGCAGAAGAGGTACTTAGCCTTTTTTAATACCTCAACTTTTTATCTTACTTTTCATCTTCTAGATTTTTCTTACGAAGTATATGATCATCATCAATTTTATCCAAACCATCTAATGCTATTTTTATGGATCCTCCTTCATTCATTCATATTGAGTGCTATCTGCAGTGTGACTCTATTTACGCAAGTATTTTCTTGCACAATTTCTTTTAACATTTGATTTACCCCTTTTTCTTCTAGATCTATTCATATTAATTTTATCTACTTTCTATCTTTGGTTGTACATTCTCAATTCAAATAAATCTATTTTTCTCTACCCATCAACAATTTATGCTATTTCCACCAATTCATCGTTTGCTTGATATGATCATTTCACTCCATTCTCCATTTTATCACATCTTACTTGTCTCATTTTTATTATTCAACTTGACTATCAATAATCTCTTTGTTGACGACCACATGAATCTGTATAACATATCTAGTCTAATTTAAGGTTTATAAAGTTTGTGTATAATTACCCATATTTAAGTCTAGTAGTTATTCCATAATCTATATCCATATTCTTTTATATAATTGAGGTAAGATGCTCAAACCGTTCTTTTGTAACCATCTCTTTATCTTCTAGCTATTGATTGATAATTATCATTTTCATATCCATTAAAAATGCATGTATTTCAGTATTTTTCTACTATTCCTAGCATCCTCTTTAAAGATATTTCTTAATTGTTATAACATATTGCGTATTTCAGAAGTTGTCTCACCTAGCCGAAACAATTATCTTAAATGAAGATGCCTTGAACATATCACGTACTTCATAAGATGTCTCACCTAGCCAAACTATGCTGTCTACAATTATCATAAATGAAGATGCCTCACTTTGAATATATTTTATATCTCCAAATCCAATAAAAAAATAGTCAAAGTTAATATTGATCATTGATATAATCTTGCTATGATAGAAAATAATTTGCTATTTCATAACTACTATTTTTTGTTATCGAGAGATCATGTGTATTTTTATAAACTTCAACTTACGAAACATACCCTTTTGTTTCTGTGTCCATAAAATTGATACTCATGGCACTCTATACGCCTTTTTATATGTGCCTTTATTCTTATGGTGTCTTCCTTTTTTCTTATCATGGCGTTTGATTCTTCGTTGTCCTACGTTCTTCAATTTTTGCCCATAGCATCTGCTAGTAGCAATTTCTTGATCATCACAATTACCTTCCTTCAGGCATATTTGCAGCAAGAATTAGAAAAGCTGCAGGATTTGAGAAATAAAGCAAAATTGGATGGGGAATTATGGGACGATCGTATCTCTAGTTCTAGTCAGAATGCCCATTTGGTTTCGAAAGCAACTCGATTATGGGAGTCTTTACTATCTCGAAAGAGTAAGTTCTATGCATTTAAACTAGTTATTTGCTTGGTGAATTTGGTTTCTTAGTACATATATCAATTAGCATCACATTGTTTATCTTATATGCACCTTAGCTATGAAGCATATTTGCTTGCTGATCATAATTAGATGTGATTTTTGCTTACTTCAACGCAAATTAATCTACTGAAATGGCAATTCTTAGTTATGTAAGTTTTGTAATTTACTTTTGAGAAGTATCTGGACCATTCTCTGTGTTGTCAGATTCAGATGCCTGTGCACACACTTTTCTTTTTATCCGGTCATTTGCTATTTGGTAAAATTTTGTTCATAATTAAATGCACAAGAATAGCTTGAAAATGTGGAATCAAAAGAGAAGTTTGAGTCAAGGAAATAATTCTTTGCATTTTTTCATCACTGTTATGGACATACTCATATTGAACTGTGTTAGGCTTCTTCCAAAGTGCTTCACTGCTTCGGCATTTTTTAGAGGAAATTGCGAGTACATGTTTTTGAGTATTCTTATTAACAATGTTGCAGGTATTAAATTTGAATGATATACCTTTTATTTGTCTGGGTTTTGATATTTATCAGCTGATTTCACCACTTACCTCAGTCTGCAGTACTATGCATGGCAACATATTTGTTGATCCCATGCATATTTTATCTAGTGTATATACGCCATACTTATGATTGGGTTCTTACCAATTAGTAGCAATATATATTATTTTTTCACGATTAAAACCTACTATTATCAAAACTCATTTTATGTTTAGGCATATATTGTTTTAATCTCCAAGGTCATGAGATCCTTTGTAGCCTGATCCATCTTTTTGGTGGTTATGCTGCTTGAAGACTAGCATTGTTAGAAAATTATAGCTTAAATATCCATCTTTGTAATTTGCATGCTGATGATATGAAATTAAGTTGCATATTTTGATTCTGAAGATCATATTTCCTTGTATTTGAAGAAGCATACTTACACAGATACATATGCATTAATGTCCATGCTATTAGATGATTTCAATTTTAAATTCATTCTCAAATATTCTTGATTTACTTTATTAGCTTGTAAAAATAGTAGTTCCCCTCGAGTGATATTTAGACTTTAAGGGCATTCATTTGATTCTTTCAACTTTTCTTAATTTCTTGACATTCTCATATATTTTTGTTTGCAGGTCAACATGAGGTTCTTGCTTCAGGTCCAATTGAGGATCTAATAGCACATCGTGAGCATAGGTTGATATTAGTTTTTTCTAAAAGTAACTTATGTTTTTTTATTGGTTTATTTGAAATATGTTTTTATTGGTAGGTATCGCATATCGGGTTCATCTTTACTTGCAGCCATGGAATCAGGTTCTCATGTTTCGTATCCAGATTTGCTCTCGGCTCGTGCTAGTGAAGTATCTTCATCCACTGATGATGGTCATGAAAAAGTTGATTATCCTCATATCCATGGGAATCCTGATATATTATCTAGGGCTGATGATAGGGGTGTAAGGGTTCATCAAATTGTTGATCTAGCTGAAGTAATTAGACGGTGGACACATGCATTGCAACGTATCCATAAGCAATCACTTCATCTAGTAAGCTGCTTCCTTCTACATCCTAAGTTTTATTGTCGATTCTCTGTCCACATTACTTATTTATTTCTGAAGCTTGCAGTGATGGCTAGCTTAGTTAAAGTTACATTTCATTTAAGCCACTCTTTACTTGTCTTGTTTTTCCATTGTTTTCTAAAAATGAGAGAATTTGTGTGGCACTTTTTTTTCTCGGAATGGTGTCTCAGTTTTTTAAGAAGATATACTCTGTTGTTTTCTTTTTCTTTTTAGAGGAATTTAATTGTTCTCTGCTAATCTTATAAAAAACATGAACTTTATTGTTATTGGGCTTACACCATAGGGAAAACATTCAATGGAGCGATTACGGCAGTTCAGTGCTTTTAGGATGGATGCTATGATGCAAAATTTCCATTGAAAGCTTGTCAATGCTCTGTGATTTTAAAATATAGTTTCATGTGCCATCTTATAGTTCTTTGAGTTGTGTTATGTTATAGTTCTTTGAGTTGTGTTTTACCGTTGATACTGGGTTTCCCCTTGATGCTTGAGGTCACTGCACCTAAGGATCTCTTTTGTGCAAGTTTTTTTTTGTTTTCTTCAGATTGCATTCAAGAAAGCATTTGTTTCTCTTTTTCCTTTTGACGTGGAGTGCTCTTTCTTGGTTAATATTTAGGACATGTAGCATGCTGAGTTTTTATTGGACTATTACAAGGGCTACATTCCCCCCCCCCTAAGGGCTCCTCCCCCCCCCCCCCCTCCCCCCCCCAAAAAAAAAGAAGTTTCCTCTTCTTGAATGGATCTCCAATTTTTTTACATAATAACTTCTTTTCATTCTTCACTTAATATTTATAGATATTTTGTAATGCTTGAAATTAAACTAAAATAAAATGGAGGGTTAAGTTAGGACTGACCCATTTGACGAGGTGCAAAGGAGTAGCTACACATAGGAGTGTAAATGAGTCTAGTAGAGCTTGAGTGACCCCTGGCTTGAGCTTGAGCACAAGCTTGATTAATTAATCATGTTCGAGCTTGAACTTGAGCTTTATTCTATGAGTTCAAGCTAGCTTATGAGCCACCTCATTTATTATGAAAAATAAAAAATGATATGATTCAAGCAATTATTATAATATAATGATAAAATGAGCGAGAAATTAAAAAAAAAAAGAGAATTATTTGATGTAAAGACGATGAGATATATTTTCTCATCATTTTTACAACTTTGTACTTAAAATCCTAAATTCTAATATATTTTAAGTGCATTTTATATTAATATTTTTTAAAAGAGCCAGCTCGCGATCTAACGAGTCGAGTCAGAGTTAGCTCAAGCTTGACTCATTAGTTTATCGAGCTTGGCTCATGAGTCATTTATTAAGCCAAGCCTGAGCCGGCTCACAAGTCAGATTGACTCATTTTCACCCCTTCCTATACATTTTTTGGAAAAGTATAACCATTCACCTCTTTCAATGAGGAGGTCAACTGGAATAACTAAAATATTAGTATTTATTTATTTATTTTCATTTTTCAATCATCAAATCTATTTAAGTTCAATGTAACATTCCCTTCTTATGACCCCTCCAAGATATCACAAGACAAATTTCAAAATATTGAATTTTCAATACTCAAATTTCAAAAGATTTGAATGACCTTTTCACATTAGAATTTCAAACACAAATTACAAATCACAAATAGATAGTCTATTACACCAATTAACATACACATAAAATAGAAATTCTACTTAAGACAGTTAAATGTCATCCCAACTATCCCTTCCCTCTTGATCACATGGCTAGCATGGGGATTCGTGGAAGGCTCACCTAGATAACACCAATTTCCTTCCATATTTGGATGGCTAATTTAGGAAGGATCATATTAGTACAATTATGCGTTATTCTATAATTATTTGTTTCCTTATTAAAATATCATATATAGATCTATAAATAGGGAGAGCTTTATGCAATTAAATTAAGCCTTTTCCCTCTCTATTTCTCTAAAATTAACAAAGACATACAAAAAAAAATAAAATTCTACTTAAGAGCTTTCATTTTACTTGTAGTTCTATGTCTTTGAATTTTTTTTTTGGATGACATCTTGTGCTATATCACTATATCCTGTCATGCTTGTGCCCACATGCTCTAGCCGCAAACTTACCTGTGCCTACACCCCTGCATAACTTTCATCTTGTATTAATGTTTCCCCTTCGTCTATGATTATTTAAAACCCTTTTCTTATCTTTTCTTTATTCTTGGTGGTGTTTGCTCATGACGTTCTCTACTCATTTCCTTAGGATGCAGTCCTCATCCATAATTGCTGCATCTTCCATACTTATCTTTTTCGCTATCTTGAGTGGTTTAGGGACATATGTTTCCCTATGGGATCTGATAAGAAACTTAGTTATCTTGTTTCCCTGCTTCTTGAACAATTGGATATTGCCAAATACATCAAATGACAATTTTTTGATGTTGTTCTCATATGGATGCTTGACAATCTTGAACCCACTAGCGTTCATAGTGTTCACGTTTCAATGGATTGCCAATTGATAAATTTATTTAGGACTACCTTGAAAGGAAATTAGGATGAACCTATTCAATATTGCCTTTTTACTTGCAGAAACAATATCAGGTGTTTCTTGTTGCAATGTTCCTCTTACATCTTCATTCATGATTTATCTCTATGATTAATTGAAGCTTAATTAATGGCACACTTTGATGTCCCGAACATTACCATTGAGCTCTCCTGATTTACCCTAGTTACTAAGTTACCAGCTCCACCTTTTTTCTGATCATGATCATATTGCTCTTTTCATTGAAACAAGGGGTGGTCATAGTCATTGTGGGCGCAATGGCCATGGTCTTGACAACACTATCAAAGGACAAATCAGTCATTTTATTATTGCTAAGAAAAGTTTTGATCCTTTAACATCTCATTATATTTTAAACATTGACCTTGTTCAAATGAACTCCATTAGTACTCCATATTCAATCACCATTACCTAAGAGCACACCATGATTGTCATCTACAACACTCTTAGTTGACCATTTTAGCATCTCATATTTTTTTCCTCCTATGGCTTTGTTGTATTGCTCATTCTAGTATGTTTTGAGTATTAGATTTTTTATGTTTCTTCTCATATGATAGGTAACCAACAATTTTTTTTATCAAGACAGTTCTTCCTTTTGTTAATTTTGTTGATGGTTCTCTCTATGGAATAGGATTCATCCATTTGTCCTTCTCATTAACATTATACAATATATTTTTCCTCATAATTTCTTAAAAATCTTTTGTCCATACATTGTCCTACCAAATCTTGTAACTATTTGGCAACCTTTTATCATTTTTTATTATATATTTTCAATTGTCTCAACATGAAGAAAAGATTGGTGGGTATTTTGAAGTTGGATCCTGGGCATCTGTGCTTCTTTGCTCATTGGATGGTCCAGACTTGCACCTGCAGACTGGTCTCCACATCTTCAATACCATAATGACTCTTATAAATGTCTAAGTTGTTGTCAAGAGTTATCGTAATCATGGCTAACTCCCATAAAAAACGATCTCAAACATGCTCCTCTATGTACCATTATGGTAAATACGTAAGAGAAATTTATATAAATTTCATTTACATTAACAATGCAATACAATTATACTATGGACATAGAAAAAATCAAGAAGAGGGGTCTGAAACTTTTTAGCATCTCATCAAAAACCTTCTATGGATCCACCTCCTTGGCCACTGAAGACCTGTTCCTCACCCTGCTCATCCTGCTCGTCCTTCTTGTTGCTTGTCCTTTGTTCAACGTCACTTGAATGGTGCAAAATTGGTGAGAGCCTCAAAATCACAACCCAGTAAGACTGTACGAATCTTAACTTACCCTGTTGGAAAGGATTCAACTAGAGGTTGCAAGCACCAGTATTGTTTCCATATCATCTTTCTCATTGCTATGGATCCCCTAGAATTTTCCTTGGAATGTATCACGTTCAACGGAGAAAATCTCTCCTGATGTATTTTCTACATCTGCCTCATTCCGAACATGGTCCGGAAATTTGATTTGGAAGGAAGGTTTGGTGGATGAGTTGGCCTAGCTTGTCCCTGCGACAGCCAGATCAGTCATGATTTCTTTTCTCTCATTTCTTTCTCTTAGGCTCGTCATATTTAGTTTTTCTTGAGCATGTGCCTTCAATGCAGAGTGCTCCTTGTATTCTTCTAGTAACCTTCGTAGGCTCCAAGAGCCACCTGCCATCTTCCTCATCGAAGGTTGGCTTTGCTGCTAGTAGATCTCTCCTTGATCTGCAATGCCTTGAAGCCTTTTTTCTTCTTGTCTTTCTTCTTAATATATAGCTATGATAAATGTTGTCATTAGCACGCTCAAACTCCAATATGCGGTTCCTAGGGTCTCTCATTTTCAACTATGCAATAGCATATGTGCCCTAGGTAGCAAGCATCTTCTCCGGTTTTATAGATTTGCCTCACAATTTAAAAGCCTCTATGTTGGCAAGGTCATGAATCTTCTTTAAAAATGTGTTCTAGATGCCCACCTAGAGGCTCATCTCACTATAAGACACCAATAAGAGCTTCGAGGCTCACACTTTTTACATTTTGGGCATACTGATGTGCACGAGCCTATTGCCTCAAATTAACATTTATTTAAAAAATACTTATATATTATATATTATATGATTTAGGTTTTAAGGTTTAGAATTTACACATATTTGGAGATAAAAAGGCAAATTTTTAGGTTTATCTTTTCGTACTATTTTTAAACTATTTATTTTTTTAATTAGCTTATTTTTATTTTCTTTTATCTATTTTATAATTTTCATTTTAACTAATTTTATTTTCACTTTTTAATTTGATTATATAGTTTTCTTTTAAGTGTTTTTCACTATTATTTTAAAATTTTTTATTATATTTTTAATTAAATTTAATTTAATCGGTTCTTGTTTTCTTCTTAGGGTGGAGATTTTTATTTATTTTTTTTTAACTTTTTGTATATAATGGATATCATATTTATGAAATTTCTATAATTTTATGAGTTTGTTTTTATTTTTAGATTGTGTCTTATCCCTTGACTCATCTTGAGGATTGTATCTCGCCTAAATACGTCATAATGTCTCTATTTCTTATTTTTACCTTTTAAATATTGATTATGAATGGATAGGATCCTCCACCCCTTTGCATAACTCATAAAGTGATGTCTATAATTCCATCCTTCATTGGAGGATGGATATTCGATGACTCTTTAAGAGATTCTTCCACCCTCATATAAAGCAAATGCCACTCCAATGATGGATGTGAATGATGGAGAGGAACTACTACATTGACTAACTAATGTGGTACCTGTCAAACATCCATTTAACATCAGTTAGAACTGAGAACACATTTGTAGTTAGCTAGGCAGGCATATAGTGGAGGGTGGCTAGCTTCAGTATAATTTTCTCTCGAGGAAATATATCTAACCCTTGCTTGAAGTAGTGTTAGAAGAGCATCGCCATCAAATTATAGTAAGATTTGGTTTCTCATCCTATCTCGAGATTTGACTCTGCAATATGACCAGATGATTGATCATCCTCAATGAAGACCAAGTCTCTAGCATCAAGACTTGTTCTCTTCAGCAGAGAACTAGCGGTAAGCTCCGTTGAGTCTATGGATACTCGCTTGTCCCCAACAACTACCTACTCGACACAATCTCCTCCACATTCGAGGCCTTTAGACGAAAGGCAACATGTGCTCTCTTAAAGGCATCTTTTTTGGAAGCTTGAACGCTAAGAAGAGAGGAAAGATCCATCTTGTTGAATTCACGCAAGGCTATCAAGTTGGAAACTAAAGCCAGTATCTTCTTGACTCGAAGCTAGTATTTATAGAGAAACCCGATGATGAGATCATTCGATAAGATTTAGTGTACTAAGTTTGCATTTATTCATGCTCTTTTTCTTCGGTTTACGATTCATTTATTCGGCTTTTCAAATGGTTGAATAAATTGATGAACTAAATGTACACAATGATTGCTTGTGCAAGTAACTCCTCGTAGGTATCTTACACGTTACATTCAAGTCGCGTGGAACTAGACACACTCTTCCTCCAAGACAGTTTATTTGAGGGACTTGCGTAGGAGTTGGGAAGGAGCTTATCACTGGAGCATGATGGATCACCTTAGGCCTTATCCTCCAGACAACCACCCTCCTCGGTAGTAGCGACCACATAAGTTCCTCTATTAGTCGGACAAATCTTTATTTATTTATGTCAAATTGAAGCCTTCTATACGATAATTCTAAAAAATCAAGCTAAAGGCACATATCTTGCCATTGGATTGCCACCACACTCAAAGATCCATGCCAACACGTTACTCTCCCTCTCTCGCCTCAACGAGGCGACACCATATCGACGTCCTACTTAACGTCACCTCAATCTTAGAAGACCCACATAAGGACATTACATGCCCCCTCTTGCCTTGATGGGGCGACACCATACTAGTTTCCTACTCAATGTCGATCTTAGAAGATCCACATTACTCGGTGCTACCGACGGAGCTCTATGATATGCTGACAGTATTCCTCCATAAATCTGAACAAATGCTATTGTAACTCTCCAAACCCTATACATAGGGGTGGGAGGGGGGGGGGGTAGGAGAGTATATGAAAAGAGAAAAAAAAAAGAGAATTATACAATAACACGAAGACAAAAGACAAAAAAAGACAAAATGCTGTCTCAATAGAGAGAGATTGTGCCAGTTTTCTTTTTTTCTCTAGCTTAAGCTCTACAAACAGAGCTCTCGTTCTTCTTATTCTTGAACTTTTGACTAGGATAATAAAGATTTTGTCTTGATATATTTTTTGCTCTTCCTCTTTCTCTTTTTCTCGGCCTTCATCATTGTCACCCACAGGCTCTCAAGCTTACAGGTAGCAAGTACGGTCTCACATTATCCACCATACAATTTAGGATTCAACACGAAAGAAAAAAATCAAGAGAAAAGTCTCTTTCCTTCATTCTAAAGAGGCTGTTCAATTATTCTAACCCGCATTCTCTACATCACATTGGAGGAAACTATCCATTGCCCTAGGTCCGCGCTCTTTACAAATACATGTACATCCACACATATTTGTTCACCTAAATGTGCTCGAGCCCATTTAGCATGCCTTTCAGCATAATCATCAATTATTCGTTGTAATAGATTATATATTATTTTATTAAAGTCATTTAATTATGTCTTGTCTTATTCTTATTTATTTATGAAATTTATTGTCTTTTTTTTTCTTCTTGGACTTATGGCTACCATATTTCAATCTATATCTACAAGTAGTTATTGTAACTACTATTCATATCTGAGAATATGGACAGTGAAGAATCACCTTGTGTGTTTGATGTGCTGCCTTCGCTTACTCTTATCCTTAGAGAGTTTCTGGAAACTGCAAGGCAATTCGGTTCTTTTTTCCTTAAAATATCTTCATTCTTTCAAGATCCATCATCCTTTGATTTTCTTGTAGATTTATGCCCACTGGCTGCCCCTTTGCACTTTGCAGAGTAAGAGATCTTAAGCCCTTTGCTGCCAATCTTCCTAATGGTCAACCAATTAACAAGAGCATAATGGGATAGTTTTTCCAGCATTATCAAAGGTTTTCTCTTCTTCCTCACCCAAATATTAGAGTAAGCTTTCTTAGAAATGGCTTCTCCAACTTCTACTTTTTAGAATTAGAAAGTGCAACTTCCTCCCATTATTTGGCAACGAAACATGCCATGAGGTTGATAGGAAATACTTGAGTTCGCAAGCAAACCAATCACCAATTGGTGAAAAACAACAAGAATAGCACAAAATCTGGGAGAAATCAGCACAAGCGATAGATTGCAATACGAAAATCAAAGCCAAACAAGCACGAAAACAAGATACAAGCTATGATGCACGGACACGGACACGTGTCGGACACGCGTGTCCAATTTATTTTTAATATTTTTTTAATCGGACACGTTTTCGGCGTGTCCGACACGTGTCAGAGGAGTGTCGGACGAGTGTCGTGTCAGACACGGTGTCGGACACTGCATGCCTCTTTGAGGAGAAGTGTCGGTGCATCATAGGATACAAGTGATCCTCAATTTGAGAGGAGGATCGTCTCTCACAAATCTCTAGACAAGAGAGTCTAGAGCCCAAGTCGCCAAAGAACCCTAATAGAGAGCAAAACAAAAACATAACCTCTCCCTAAAATATCTCATATTCTTTAATACATAAACTTTTCTAATCTAATTTCCCTCCCAAGCCCTAGCCAACCCCTGCTTTTCAATTTTGAATTCCGTTTGACGGGCCCACTAATGTGGGCAGCAAGAAGAAAGGGAGTCGGACAAATGCCGCCTCTTGTAGACCTGAGCCGGTTCAGGTTGAACCGGCCTAACAGAGGTGTTCTCTCCGGGGAAAGGGGTTCTAGCTATGCATTTATAGATTGGACAACTACTTTTCTAAAGTTTTTTGCTATCTCATTTTTTTCCTGCTTTCATGGTCAGCTAGTTAGATTTCTTTTGTGATGTGTGATCATTGTTTGATAAATTTGTGTATCATGCAGTTTGATTCTTTTATCCTATTTTACCTTTGTTACCTAGACATTTGCAAAAGGATGTACCTTGGTGTATGCTTTTTGCTGATGATATTCTTCTTGTTGATAAGACTAGAGAGGGAGTTGAAGGTAAACTTGAATTATGGAGGTCAACCTTTGAGTCTAAAGGTTTTCGCTTGAGTAGATCTAAAACGGAATATATGGAGTGTAATTTTAGTAGTAATAGACCTAGTGAGGGGATTGTGACTTTGGGCGATCAAGTCATTAATAAGAGTACACGTTTTAGATATCTTGGATCTATTGTTCAGAGTAATGGTGAAATAGATGGAGATATTATTAGCAGAATTCAAGTTCGATGGTTGAAGTGGAGGAATGCATCGGGCTTGTTATGTAATAGAAATGTACCCCTCAAACTTAAGGGAAAATTCTATAAGATGGTAGTGAGGCCTGCAATGCTTTATGGTGCCGAATGTTGGCCATTAAAAGAGAAGCATAATACTAAGTTAAGTGTGGCAGAGATGAGGATGCTCAGGTGGATGAGTGGCTTTACCCTTAGAGATAGGATACGAAATGAGCATATACGTGAAAAGGTTGGAGTAGCTACAGTAGAAGATAAGATTAGAGAGAGTCGCCTTAGATGGTTTTGTCACATAAAATGGCGGTCTTCCAATGACCCGGTTAGGAGAGTAGAGGCATTAGATTTGACTTATGTTAAGAAAGGTAGGGGTAGACCTAAAAAGACTTGGTTAGAAAATATTAGGAATGACCTTTCTTTATTAGATTTAAACGATAATTTGACTTTTAATAGGACACAATGGAGAAAAAGGATTCATGTAGCCGACCCCACGTAGTGGGATAAAGGCTTGATGTTGTTGTTGTACCTTTGTTACCTATTTGACCTTTGTTAAATAGAGCTGCTTTTTTTTTCTTTCTGCAACTGCTTTTGTTGTTGTCGTTGTTGTACCTTTGTTACCTATTTGACCTTTGTTAAATAGAGCTGTTTTTTTTCTTTCTGCAACTGCATGCACCAATAGGAGAAAGTCATGTGATCTTGGTGTAGTAGCCGCTGTTTCTTAAAATAGTTCATTGTGTTGCAAATCATTGACTAGATTTTGTTCTGTAGGCCAAAGCTAATGATGGAGAGGGCCCAGAACTACTTCGCAGTGCATCTGATGATGGTACTGCTGGTCATGCTGAATCATTGGCAGCAACCCTAGCTGAACATCGCCAGCATTTAATTAGCATACAGGTAAAGAGTGTTTCATAAGCAGTTAGTCATATGCATATATTGTTTTTGACTTGTAGATCCCTGATGTAATTGCTTTGAGGCGTAATCATTATTTTATTTTTCATGTTTTAAGGACTCCGAGCTGGTGTTATAGGTAGGGCTGTAAATTATCCAAGCTTGCGCAAACTTGGCTTTGCGTTTGAGCTTAGGCTTATTCAGCTTTTGCTCTGTTTTAGCTCGGTTTATATTTGATTATGTCTGAAAACTTTTGTTTTTATTTCGGTCACTTTAGGCTCATGTTCATCTTAAAGGATATTAATTTCAACGATTAAATTTTTTAAAAATCATTCATAAATAGACAAATAATTATAAAAAAATATTAGAAATATTTTATGTTAAAATATATGACAGTTAAAAAGTTATCACTTACAATTTGCAATTTCGAACACAAAGACTTGGGACTTTTTTAAGGATGACCATGAAATACCAAATGGAGCACAGATTTAATAGATCATTCAAAAATGCCACATAAATTTACAAATACATACTCTAGATTGATTAATTCATTTGCTTGTTTGCGTCATTACAAAAGCTAAGAACGCCCATTGGCCAAGCAGTATCAACAACAGCTGTTGAGGATTAGAAATATTTAAGTGGATCCCTGAGGTTGTCAATGTTTAAAATGATCTAAAATCCATTCAACAATTGTCGGAAAAAAAAATCAAAATAGACAAGCTGAAGAGTAAATTTAGCTGTTGAACTGTTGGAGTAACCTGCATAAAAATAAAATAAAATAAAATAAAATAAAAAAAGCCCAAGATATTAGTCACTTATAGAAGCTTAATGAAACTGTTAGACCCGGCCCCTAGTGGATCGGTCCAGAAGGGTCCGGTTCGTGTCTACAGCAGGAGGGGCGGCTGTAAGAGGGAGAGAGAGAGAGGTGGGGTGGGGTCCACTTGATTTTAAATTCAAATTTGGAGCCACAGGAGGAGGAGGCAAGGGCCTTAAGGTCTTTTTGTCTTATTGTTTTAATTACATGCCTTAAGTTTGAGAGGGAGATGAGGGTTAGGATTATATTTTGATTATTGTGTTCTTGTGAGGGTTCTTCTTGGTGTCTTGGGCTCTAGACTGTGGGCTTCGAAAATTCAGCCTCAGCCTCCACCTGCTTTTATTTTTCTTCGGGGGGAGTTTTAACGGATTAAGCTCCGGGGTAAATTTTGGAAGACAGATGGGTTTGTAGAAAAGACACTACCAGAGGTTTCACCCTCATTTTGCGAGGACTTTATAATCTAAGTTCTGGTTTCCTTTAGGCGCAAGCCCCTATAGTTAATTACCCCTGCCGATCACAAGAGAAAACTTTCGATTAAGGCTAATCGTCAATCATATACATTTTATCTATAGATACGTAGTATTAGGCATATAATAGCAGCATGGGCATAAAAATATGAAAATTAGAAGGGTTTAATATTTAAAATTGAAAATTTCACCATCTTACACTTAAAGCAGATGGTGGGGGGAATGGATGATGGACCCGAACAAGATCTCATGGTTCCGTGGTCCCTGGTCTACTTAGTCAGAGGAGGTAGTCGACCCAACCTGACAGAAGGATCCTTGCGGAAGCCATGGGTTGCTTCGTCTAAGTATACCTTGTAGACCTGGTGGAAGTATTTGTATAAGGGGACAAATTTGAATCCACCTTAGCTAACAGAGGGTTTTATGCCATATTGATTCATATCTCAAGGATTTGATGCCACTAAGGAACGTATTGGCTCTGGCCATAACCGGTATTTCGTGTTGCCATTTTGCGGCAAAAACCACTCGGTTCAGAGGGGCTCGGGTCATAACCGTTTATCCTGCGATGCCATTTGGCGGCAAAACTGTTGGTCAGAGAACATGTACCACGTCCTTATTGGCATGAGATTATTTGAGAATGGATCCTAGTGATATTTTCGATCAGGTATTTAGCTCTATGTGAGTTGGAGTAAATTTTAATTTGTCCACCTCAGCAAACTGTTGCGGAGGGTTAATGAATTTTTCTTCAAGTATTTTGATGGTTGAATTTTTATTTTTAAATATTTTGGATTTTTGAAATTTTTTGGATTTCGGATTTTGATGGACATTTAAGTGGCATTTCAGAGATATTTGGAATGAACCCCTCTTGTTAAGATTAGCATTCAACACGGTCATCATCGGGGTGTAAGGGGTCATTTCTATTTTGATTTAACCTTGTCGACCATATCAACTTGCCGATAGGGGATCAGGTTTCATAGGCTTTGTGCTTTTATTAGTGAATTCATTTTGTTATAGCCCTTGAAGGCCTAATATGAATGTATTAAAACAAATATATCGGTCGCCACGACCGTGTATTTATTTCATGGTTCGAACCCTGTCAACTCCCATTGATCCGTATGAAAGGATCGGGTTCAAACTTGAATTCACTTATTAACTAGTGTAGCATCCCTAGACGTCACACGCGTACCCATAACACGCTTGCTAGGGTTCATGCAGGTGTTTGGGGGCATTTTATAGTTATTTGCTGAACCTTGTCGACTCCTACTTACATGCTTAGGAGTATCGGGTTCAGATTTAGTGACCCATGCAGTATTCTTAGACTTCATGTGTGTTCCCACAACACGCTCGTCGGGGCCCATGCGGGTGTTTGGGGGCATTTTATAATTAAACCCTGTCAACCCCTTTTACCCACTTAGGAGGATCGGGTTCAGATTTAGTGACCAGCGCAGCATCCCTAGACGTCACGTGTGTTTCTACAACACGCTCGTCAGGGCCCATGCGGGTTTATGATTGCATAACCTCCCCTTTTTGTGTACCTATGTGTATACAAATTACGGTGCATGTACGTGGGGATTTTGCAATATTTATAAACGCCTTCTATCCGCTTGCATGGATGTTGCAGATTCGGTGACGTGGCATTGTAAATTGTAGACGCCTTTTGTTTGCTTGTATAAGTGTCGCAGATCTAGTGGCGCGGCGTTGTAAATTGTAGACGCCTTCTGTCTGCACTCAAAACCACATTCATCGAATATTTTCATTTTCATTTCTCTTTGGTGGGTCGCAATTTTTGGTTCAATTAAATGATTTATTATTTCTAAATTATTTTTAATAGTATACTTATTCAATTTTTATTCACTATTTTTAAAATAAAAAAATTATAATACCGTGCCCAACTCATATCCGTATCCTATATTTTCTATAATTGATGTATCCCATGTCCGTGCCTTGTCGTATCCTTGTCTGTGCATCATAGGTTGCAACCATTTATACTTATTATCATGAAATAGTATGATACAGAAAGTATACTTGAGCATAGATGAAATTGACTTTCACTTTGTTGCCACATCAATTGGACAAACTTTATGATGTGAAAACCTCCAATTATTTTGAAACCTCTACAAACTCAAGTAACCAAGCATATGATTTTTGAAGATACCTAACTTACTCTCTTGAATTCTTAATAACATATTGTCTACATTTTAATCCTTTATGTACCATTATCTTTACTATATGTGCGCAACACCTAATATGAATAAATAGATCTTGAAAATGCAATTTTTCTTTCCACTGAAAATTTTACTTTTAATGTGCTAGCCCCAAACCATTGCTACTAGGCACTAGCAGTATCCAAGATGATTATAAATACCTTGTCTGTGAGATTCCGATCCAATAGACAGCCAAAAATGGCATCGCAAATCTTTATGCCAGGAGTGCTTAGATCAATAAAACTAATAATTGATTTTGTAGCTTTTAGACATCATCAAATTAATGATATCCAAAAACCTCTTCTTTGATTACAACTTTAACAATCTGAAGTCAATGAATCCCTTTGAATATTTTAAAGATATTTTTTTAAACTTATCTTTCTCAAATTCCTATATCTTATATAATCATTTCTAATAGTATTCCTCGAAACACTCATAATGATGATTTAAATTTTTCAAAAGACATTTGCTCATAGATGCTTGGCTATCGTGAGAAGATATTCATGAATATTGATCATCTTGGCAATTATTTTCTAATATGACACCAATCATAATTCTTTGGATCATGAAATATTGAAATTTCAAGCTATGCATTCACGTCTTTATGCAACAATTTCAGCCTCTTTTGACTTTTATCCAGTTAACATGGTTAATCTTAACGTTTTTTGATATTTGATGCTTCTAAGTATTTTTTGTTCTATGAAATTTAGTTCCATAGGTGTGTATGATATATTAGGCACTTACCCTGTGATATTGGTAGTTCAACAAAATACTCCCGTACAATAAACTTTCTTTTTCAATCAATCATTCCAATTTCAACAATATTAGCCTTAATAACATGTTGAAAATAAAAGTTGTGTAGTAGTATTTGGACAATGAACCATATTTTCTACATTTATTGATTCTTAATCGCCAAACGTTGTTGATTGGTAGTATTATAGTGTTGACATTATAATCAAATTAAAAACTAAAGAAAATATAGCTATACTAAATGTATGTGCCCACTCATAATGCATATACATATTCTGTAAATAAATAATCCGACTCAGACCCAACCTAAAAAATTCTGAGTTCAGGATGACCCATTTAATAAACATGTCAGGTTTGAGTTTGGAAATATGATCCATCTATTAAACGGGTCAGGTTTGGGTTAACTCGCCAACCCGATTTTGACCCCAAACTATCTCATTTAATATTTGTTTTCTTAATTTTTTTTACCAAACTATCTCATTTAATATTTGTTTTCTTAACTTTTGTTTGTTTGTTGGTATGATCTTATTTTCGATCAACTAATCTAAAATTTATGGTTAACAATTTTAAAAAAAATTTGACAAAATGGGTTATCGTGTTGGGTTGGGTCATTCGAGTTGCTAGCTAGTCGGGTTTAGTTTCATCTTTTTGACCCATTTTTCAAATGGGTCGGGCTCTAGGTGGATTGGATTTGTGCCAGATCAATATAGGGTCTGGCCCAAACACGACCTTTTAACCTGTTTTGATACCTCTACATGTAGAAACACAAACCTAACATAAAGAAACATTATACCAATAAAGAGTTAATGGAAAAATGCTAAATCACTAAAATCAAACAATTTTTTAATGTTGATCCCCCCCCCCCCCCCCAAAAAAAAAAAAAAACCAAAAAAAAAAAAAAAAAAACAACCAATAACTATGAAGTTTACATAGGATTTTCAATAAATATTAAAGTTAAAAAATATATCTTTTAAAGAATAACAAGTTTAAATAATATGTAAGTCTACCTCCAAGCACAAAAAACCAAAATAACGTGAAAATGTATGAATAATCTGACGTATCATTAATTTAGGAATATAAAATCAATTATAAAAAAGTATAACCACTTCTACGTTTAGCGCTTGATTTGCACATAAGAATTGCTAAGTATTTGATATAACATTTTTTTTTTTAGAATTGAAGTTGCAGTTGCTAAATATTCATAGAGGACTTTATTGCCCAAGTTGAGAAATAAGAGGACATGTAGATAAAGGGGTAAACAGGTTGGAAAAATCTTGCTTTGTAGATGGTTCAAGTCGTTGGGCTGCTGAAGACGAGAAAGAGGCCAAGTATGTCTCATTTAGTTGTTGTAGGACGCAATATTTGAAAAAAATCTGACTGCTTGAGAATGAGAGGTTAGGATTTTGAGCGAAGAGCAATATATTGAGAGATAAAGATCGTAGTTTTAAGAAAGAAAGAGAGCCAAAAGATTAAAATAGAGTACAATATAAAAAGAATGTAATGTATTTAAAATATTTAAAAATTTTGAACGAGTGTAAAACATATAGAGGTGATTTTTTTCTGTTGGTTTAAAATAAAATGAATGTACTGTAAAGCCGATCAATGATAGGTGCTGGTGGTCGTTAGTGTTGGTCGGTGGCGATTAGTAGCGGAGGCGGGGTGCAATGGTGATGGAACTGAGTGGCGGCGACGAGTGGGTGGATGCCGATGATGGTGGTAGGTGGTGGTGGTTGGTTTGGAATTCTACCAAACATAGACTAATTTTGAATACATATAAAATGTATTGATTGAATTTGGAATGCATCTCTGCTACGCATAATTTATTTTTCATCATGCTAAACGCTAAAATTCCTAAAACTTCTATATTTGGAATACTTTGCACTCACTTTTCATCAAACTAAGAAACTCATATTTTTTATTTATTCAATATTTTTTTAATAACACTTTTTGGAAGTTTTTAATTATAATCATTAGATATTTGAATTGAATATTGGGATCTTACTGATGTGGCCCATAATCTTTCTTGGATTAACACTGATGTTGTCGTGTCCCAAGCCCTGGATGAGAAAAGTTGAGGGTTACATTAGGCAGTCGACAACAAGCATAAAATTTGTTAAATATCATGTCATTAATTTTTTAATATATTGTTTTAATACTCGGATATTCCTTTGTAGACAATGGTGAAGCCAAAAAATTTTTATCGGGGGCCCAAGAGTTCGGTCTAGAGAAAGAAATTAAAAAAAAATCCAAAAAAAATATATATATATATATATATATATATATATATATAACCCAATTAAAAGTCTAGGGCTGTTGCAACAATGATACCAAATAAACTTGATTTGCTTATAGTTTTCCAGTAACAAAACTCTTTCTCTGGCTCATATTATAAAGCCATAGTGTGATTACCTCCTGGCCGTCAAATTAAAGGAAGACTTTCTAAATTATGAAGTTGTCATACTCTTTATTTTGTTCTCCAAAATATGGATTAAATATCTCTTGCTTAAATACAGGGACTTATCAGTCAACTTAAAGAAGCAGTCCCAACAATGCAGAAGTCAATAGCAGAGCTGACAGAAGAAGTGAATAGCATATCACCAATTGCACTAGATGAATATAATGAGCGATCAAGCTCACCAACACAGGCCCAAAGCAGTGGAAGGATTCAAGTATGTAGATAGCCCTTCTACTTGAGTAGTATATTTATGACGCTGAGTCATTGTCTTTGATTTTAATTTTAATTTTACCTTTCCTTAATCTTGCCATTTGTTGTTTGCCTGAAACTGTTTAATTGCTTGTGGTTGCATTTTGTGGCAGGAAAATACAGATCAACTAGTTGAGATGGCCTCCAACCTCTCCCTTCAATCTGGAAAGGCTTCGGGCAGCCCGCCTCTTAAACTTCCACATTTGTTTAGTCTAACTCCAAATTCATCAGGAAAGAGTACGCATACTGGAAAGCGGCATGCCACAACTGTTCTACCGAATCAGTCAGAAAATATTCCTACTGTGAAATTTGTAGGCCAACCTTTTGAAAATGATTATGCAGACGTTGCAGCAGAAGGTTTGCATTCATTACGTGCTATTTCAGCACTTCCCTATGAAAGTTTCTTATACAAAAAGTTATCTTCTTTTGAATAATGGTATGGCAATGACTCTCAGAACAATTGTTTTCTTTCCTGGTATGCAGATGGGTATTTATATGCTCTAAATCTTAAGCGTACTGTTCGCGAAGCTGCATTGTCAGGTCCATCTAGTAATTCTGAGATATCAGATGAGAAGAGCAGTGATGAATCCGAGCATTTCTTTGTACCGCTTTCAACCAGCCTCCCTGGAAAGGATGCTGATGCTGTGGTTAGCCGAAAAAAACAGCTGACCTTCTCTTCTCCCCCTGATACTGTGGAATGCCTTGACCAAGTGTTCTCGCCTGTATTTGTGATGAGTGATTATTTATTTGGAGACGCCTATGAAGACTTGCTTGGTAATGTTGATCTAACTCCATTGTTTCTTATACTGCTTTTCCTTCATTCGATGACTCAGCCTGGCATATGGGTTCATTGGATCCATAGCATACTCCTAGTGCTATATTTTTTGAAAGAAAATTGTTGCGTCTTGGAATATTTGTGAGAGTAGAGAGATATAGAGTTTAACATCTAAACTTTATACGAAGATCAAGCATACAAATAAGATAAGAGAGGGGTGCAAGAGTCATCAGAGACACCGAGATTTTTATGTGGAAAATCATGAAAAGGGAAACAAATTATGGGGCCTGACCCAGTTAAAATAATTCCACCAATGCTTCTTATTGATTACAAATGATGTCATTTCTTCGGGGGAAGACATTGGCTCAATGTACACCATATAGAGCTATTACACACTTGGGGTTAGAAGAATTTAATGACATGAGAGTTGTGCTCAAGAGAATGTTGGGTTGTTCTTTTGGTTGGTAGGACCGTAGTCAGGCGAAGGAGGTCACGTTGAACTGTAGTTGGGAGACGATGGTCAGAGGGACTGTAGTTAGTGAGCGACGGTGGTCGAAAAGATCATAGTTAGCCGGCGACGGTGGTCGGAGGGACCGTAATCGGCGGGCAATAGTGGTTGGAGTGATCATAGTCGGCGACAATGGTCAGTGTGGGCTCCAAAAATTCGGCCCCGGCCTGCGCCCGATTGTTGCTTTCCTTTCTTTGGCGTGGGAGTTTTAACGGAATAAGTTTCGGGGTAAATTTTGGAAGACAGATGGGTTTGTAGATAAGACACTACCCAGAGATTTCGTCCTCATTTTGTAAGGACTTTATGATCTGAGTTCTGGTTTCATATAGGCGTAAGCCCCTATAGTTAATTACCCCTCTCGATCACGAGAGAGAACTTTCGATTAAGGCTAGTCGTCAATCAGATGCATATAAATATGTGTTATCTGACATATAGTAGCAGTATGGGTTTGGGATTTAGGAATTTAAAGGATTGGAAGATTTAGAGATTTGATATTTAAAATTGGAAATTGCACCATCTTTCACTTAAAGCAGATGGTAGGGGAATGGATAGACCTGATCAAGATCCCATGGTTCCATCGTCCCGGGCCATCGTGGTTCCTGGTCTACTTAGTCAGAGGAGGTAGTTGACCCAACCTGACGGAAGGATCCTTGTCGGCAGCCATGAGTTGCTTTGTCCAAGGGAACTTTGTAGACCTGAGGTGAATGTTTGTCTAGGGGATAAATTTGAATCCACCTTAGCTAATAGAGAGCTTTGTGCCTTATCGATCATATCCTATTGATTCATATCTCAAGGATTTGATGCCGCTAAGGAACGTATTGGCTCTGGCCATAATCGATATTTCACGGTGCCATTTGGCAGTAAAACCCCTCGGTTTAGATGTCCCCGGGTCATAACGTTTATCCTGTGGTGTCATTTTGCTGCAAAACCACCTGTTAGAGGGCACATACCACAATCCTTACTGGCAGGAGATTGTTTGAGAATGGATCCTAGTGATAGTTTTGACTAGGCATTAGCTTTATGTGAGCTAAAGTAAATTTCAATTTGTCCACCTCGGCAAACTGTTATGGATGATGGGTGAATTTTTCTTTAAGTGATGATGGATTTATTTTAGTTTTAAATATTTTGGATTTTTGAGTTTTTGGATTTTGGAGTAGTTGATTGACATTTGAAAATATTTGCGAATCCCTCCGGTTGATATCTACAGTCAACACGGCCATCATCGGGGTAAGTATTGGATCATTTTCATTTGAAAATATTTGTATTTATGGATAAACATTGTCGACTCTGTCGAGTTATTAGCAGAGGATTGGGTTTCACAGGCTTTATGTCTTTATTAGTGAATTTTCTTTGTTATAAGCCTTGAAGGCCTAATAGGAATGTACTAAAATAAATATACTGGTCACCACAACTGTATATTTGTTTGATGGTTCGAACTTTGTCGACTCCTATTGATCCGCATAGAAGGATCGGGTTCAAACTTGAATTCATTTGTTGACCCGCGCAGCATTTTTAGACGTCACGTGTGTAGCAATAACACGCTCGCCAGAGCCCATGCGGGTGTTTGGCGGTATTTTATAATTATTTGTGGAACCTTGTCGACTCCTATTTATCTACTCAAGAGGATCGGGTTTGAATTTGAATTCACTTATTAACCTGCGCAGCTTCCCTAAATGTCACGTGTATACTTATAACATGTTCGTCGGGGCCTATGCGGGTGTTATGATTGTATTTATCCTTTGTGTACCTATATGTATACAAACTATGGTGCACGTATAGGAGATATTCTTGGAATATTTGTGAAACGTCTTTTGTCCGCTTGCATGAATGTTGCAGATCCAATGACATATTGTAGCAGCTTTTGGATTGAGTTGTTTGCTGCATTGTACAGATAGACTGTCGTGCACTATTTGTTGCTTTCTGTAGGTAAATTGTAGTACACTAACTAATATCCTGCTTCAGGTTGGTAGGTGCTGCCATCTGCTGCAGCTCCCTTGTATCTTTCTTTTGGGTGGCATGTTATATGTACGACAAAACTTCTACCACTGCTCGTAGGAACTTGCATTCATTTTGTATTATTCACCTCTGCTTACATAAGATCGGTATATTCAGTTGTATGCATGCATATAGCTGGTCATAGATAGGATCCGACATTTATTGCACACTGCTCGTTGTATGTTGACTTTCAACATACATAAGTAATTGCATTATTCATCTGTGACTTCTTTACTACCATTGCTTGAATGTCGGCGTATCATTTACCATTCACCGCTTTATAGGTTATTTTGCTATTATGTTGTTGCTTGGAAGAATTTGACATATTATCTTGCAAATTCATATTTGAAGATATGTTCTTTGTTGTATTTAAAAGCAATGAGAAGGAAATACATTTGTTTGTCTGATTGATATGCATCAATCATCCTCTTCTTTATGTGGATTGCATGATATTCATTTGGATGTGTATCACTATTGCTCATGCGTACTCACATATATCCCATAGTTCTTTGTAAGGAATATCATTTTCCTTTACTAGTTAGTGGACATTGATTGTATGGATATCATAATAATGACTGCATCTTCTTGCATCTCTTTAAGTATTTGTAGGGATTGCTACACATGTTAGCAAGACAATGGATGTCGGTCAAAGGTGCTTCAATTACTTGTCACGCATATGCAATATAGTTCTATTTGACGTGAGTCTCACATTTATTTGTTGATATGCATTTGATTGATCAAAACTATAACTTGATTTTAGTATCTTCAAAAATGAATTTAATGATCTTGAAGTTCAATTCTTTGTTGATCACTCAGAGGTCCATGTCATTCTGCCCTTTGTTTAGATCCAATATCCAAGTACAGAATTGAATCTAGTTCATGTTTAATTCGGTGTGCAGATTCAAACTGTCCAAATCTTACCCAAGTCCCTTGTAAATGTTCATTCAAGCTTAACTTCGATGTTTGCAAGTTTGATTGATATTCAATTTGAGTGAAGGTTCTTTATGTTTGCTCAAATTAGAGTTCAAATTAAGATATTTTGCTAAACTTTTTAATGAAGATTGTGAAAATAAGATTGACTATAGTGACCTTAGCACCCTAAATGAAAATAAAGATTTCTGTTTTTATCGGCGTATTAGTAAAACTGAAGTTAGAGTGACTTTAAAGAAAATGAAGGGTGGAAAAGCTGTTGGACCTAATGATATTCCAATAGAGGTATGGAAATGCTTAGGAGATGAAGGAATTTCATGGCTTACTAAATTCTTTAATACTATTTTGAAGACTAAAAAGATGCTAGATGAGTGGAGAATGAGTGTGTTAATTCCTATTTTTAAGAATAAAGGTGATGTACAGGATTGTGCGAATTATAGAGGTATTAAGTTAATGTGTCATACTTTAAAACTATGGGAGCGAGTTTTGGAGCATAGGTTGCGGCGTGATACTAATGTTTCTCAAAATCAATTTGGATTCATGCCGGGTAGGTCGACTATGGAAGCCATACATTTATTAAGAGGTTTGATGGAGAAATATAGAGAAAATAAGGAGGATCTACATATGATATTTATTGATTTAGAAAAAGCATATGATAAAGTTCCAAGAGAAGTGCTATGGAGAGTTCTTGAAAAGAAAGGAGTCAATAATGCTTATATTCAAATCATTAAAGATATGTATGCAGGAGTTATTACTTGTGTTCAAACACAAGGTGGATTGACCAAGTATTTTCCTATTTCGGTTGGGTTACATCAAGGATCAGCCTTAAGCCCATATCTTTTTACTTTAGTCATGGATGTTCTCACTAGACATTTGCAAGAGGATGTACCTTGGTGTATGCTTTTTGCTGATGATATTCTTCTTGTTGATAAGACTAGAGAGGGAGTTGAAGGTAAACTTGAATTATGGAGGTCAACCTTAGAGTCTAAAGGTTTTCGCTTGAGTAGATCTAAAACGAAATATATGGAGTGTAATTTTAATAGTAATAGACCTAGTGAGGGGATTGTGACTTTGGGCGATCAAGTCATTAATAAGAGTACACGTTTTAGATATCTTGGATCTATTGTTCAGAGTGATGGTGAAATAGATGGGGATATTATCAGCAGAATTCAAGTTGGATGGTTGAAGTGGAGGAATGCATCGGGCTTGTTATGTGATAGAAATGTACCCCTCAAACTTAAGGGAAAATTCTATAAGATGGTAGTGAGGCCTGCAATGCTTTATGGTGCCGAATGTTGGCCTTTAAAAGAGAAGCATAATACTAAGTTAAGTGTGGAAGAGATGAGGATGCTCAGGTGGATGAGTGGCTTTACCCTTAGAGATAGGATACAAAATGAGCATATACGTGAAAAGGTTGGAGTAGCTCCAGTAGAAGATAAGATTAGAGAAAGTCGCCTTAGATGGTTTGGTCACATAAAACGGCGGCCTTGCGATGACCCGGTTAGGAGAGTAGAGGTATTAGATTTGACTTATGTTAAGAAAGGTAGGGGCAGACCTAAAAAGACTTGGTTAGAAAATATTAGGAATGACCTTTCTTTATTAGATTTAAACGAGAATTTGACTTTTAATAGGACACAATGGAGAAAAAGGATTCATGTAGCCGACCCCACGTAGTGGGATAAAGGCTTGATGTTGTTGTTGTTGTTGTTGTAATTAAGAAGGATTTGAGCCCGATATTGACGGGATGGATTAGGATAGGAGCATTTGATCGTCTCGTAAATCTCACAACAAGTTAAAGCCTTACCTTCCTCTTTTTGTAGCAAATTCGGGATTTAATAATTCCCCTGGTTCGGTGGATTTACGGGATTTAGCCGAAGAAGCTTGCGATAGGGAGGGATTTACGTTCACAGCTTGCGGCTCTCGTTTTTGCTTTGCCTTAAAATGTCGTGACTCCTGATCCAACAGGACGTCGTCGAGGGAGCAAAGTCGATCGACAACGAGGGAGGCGGAGAAGCACACAAAAGGGAGAAAGTTTCCTTCACAGGCAGCGAACTTTAGTCACTACTTCCCCTCTAAATGTCGTTACCTCCGATCCTAACAAGTAAAGGGAATGTCATCAAAGGTCACGGCTCCGACTCAGCTACGGATTCGACTGTTGGGGAAGATCGGAGAGGGTAGAGAAGGTTGGGAAAAAGGAAGAGCTACGAGAGATCACCAAAAGGGAGCAGGAGATGTTGAGCGGAAGCTTCGTGTGTGGAGATGTCGAGAATGGAGTTTGTGGTTTGCGAATGGCTGCCGAGCGTGAATGAGAGCATCGCTCTCATTTTAAAGGCGCGTAGAAGGTGAGGATTGAGGCCAGTGCGGGAATAGCAAAGAAGCGACTGTTTCGACGTCGATTCATCGTGATTTCGGTAGGATTTGTGATATCTGGCAGAGGCAGGTATGCATTTTTTATTATTTTTTTCTTTTTTGTTTTGTTTTCACAGCAGAGGTCAACAGTCAAGGGCGATGGTGGGTAGAAGGGACTGCAATCGGGCGATGGTGGTCGGTGGGACCTTAGTCGGTGAGTGACGGTGGTCGGAGAGATCACAATTGGCGGGCAACAATGGTTATAGGGACCGTAGTCGGGCGACGGTGGTCGGACAGATTGTAATATGCGAGCGACAGGAGATCGTACATATTGTAGTCGGCTGGCGACGGAGGTCGAAGGGGTCGTAGTGGGCGAGCGATGTTGGTCGGAGGGACCATAGCCGACGACCTGTGGTGGTTCGATGGTTGGAGGGACTATAGTTGAGAGACGATGGTGGTCGGAGGGGCCGTAGTCGCGGGCGATGGTGGTTGGATGGAGCTTGGTCGGTGTGCGACAGTGGTTGGAGGTACCATAGTTGGTGATCGATGGAGATTGGAGGGGCCATAGTCGGCGGGCGACATTGGTCGAAGGAACTATAGTTGGTGGGCGACAGAAGGTCAGAGGGACCATAGTCGGTGGATGATGGTTGTCGGAGGGATTATAGTCGATGAGCAATGATGGTCTGAGGGACCGTAGTCGGTAGGCAACGGTGGTCGGTAGGACCATATTCGGTGGGCGATAGTGGTTGGAGGGACCTTAGTCAAGCAACGGTGGTTCGATGATTGTCGGGTGATCGGGCTGTGGTCAACAAAAGTTCGTCGGCAGTGGTGCTTGGGTAGAACTCTAGGATCCTTGAAGCCTTAGAGCTCTCTCCAAAGCCAAATGTCCCTCTCATGAATAGAGTATCAGCCTATTTATAGCATGCTATGTAAAAATGGAGAAGTTCTAGGGAATGTTTAGATTGCTCCATTAGATAGCCCATACTGATCCCCTCGATCATAAAGCTTCATGCAACATATATGTGTCTTAATAATGTCAGAAATAAGTGATCTTGGGCTTGTTTGATTCATTTCGTCTAACTGCTCAGTTTGACTATAAACATGCTTTATTTGGATATCATTCGGTCACCCAATTAGTACTTTGAAGCTTCCAACTATGCTTCAGTCCCTTAATTTGGAGCTATTTGGGCTCGGATTGAAATGATTTAGGTGTCGCTGGGTTCGTCTCCTTGAGATGTTCAATTTGACTATAATGTTGCTGAAATTGGAGTTTGAATCGTCTCAAATTTAAATTTGGAAGTTTTTCAACATGAATATGCCTCGAGATTCGTGCTTGATCAAGGCAAATTTCGGTGGGGTATCAAGAATTAAAATCATTGATTTTACCTGAAATACTTGAAAAAGAAACGGAAATCTAACTACATTTACACAATCCCTTAGTTACATTAACCACTCTTCAAGCATGTGACAACGAACAACAAAATTCAAACTACAAATACTTGTGCTTTAAGAAAAATAAATTTCACATTGATGGCTGGTCCAAGGTAGTGCAAGGGAGAGCGAAGGATAGACTACTGGATTTTTTTTTTTAATAGAGACGTTTTGATGGGACTTTATTTGTGCTTCTTGCTCAATCATGCAACATGCAATTAGCAAATTAAGACACTTCATCTTAATTTACTATCACGATAAGTAATAGCGAATTTTTATAAAACTTCATGATGATTGGTCATGCATCGAGCATCCAAATATAACATCTGAGTAGATCTAGATAATGAGAGAAATAATTCATTATTTTTTACATGATATGATATACTTTCAGTGGAATTTATTCCAAAAAGGTATACACAAATGGTATTTTTAGTGAAAGGCACCGTAAGGTAACTTTTTTTTTTCGACAAGATATATTAAAGGATAAATATTCTTGAAAGTGAATAAATTAGATCATTAAGATGTCCTTAGATTGAGATTAATATCAATGATTTTGGTTTTCTATTGTTTGATAATAATATCATATATTAATCTTTTTTAGAATGGGTTTTTTCAGGGATAGTAGGCTATATCGTGAAAATAGTACTAGGAGTAAAAAACTGAAGGGCCTCATGCAGAACAAACCATCAGCTCAACAATGTAGTAAATAGGATTTTATCAATAAAAAAGCGAGTATGGAATGTTCTGGCTCAATTATTTGTTGAAAAAGGTCATTAACATTTGTAAAAAAATTTGAGGAAAATAAAAAATAATCTAGTGAACATAAACTCTTGAAGTAAGTGGATTTCATTAGATGGCGGAACATGTAAGGTTAGTATTGACTAGGGGTGTAAATAATGAATTCAATACTAAAATTTGACCTGAATATGGCATGAAAATTTAACTCAAATAAAATTTGGGTTGAGTTCAAGTTAGCTTAATTAACTCGAAATCCAAATGATATTCGTGATATTTTGATGGGTTCGCTTAACCTGAAAATAATGAATCAACTATTTCATTGTTTTTTGACATGAAAATTTTATTAAATGGTAAATTATTATTATTTTTGTTTAGTTATTATAAAATCAGAAAATTATAATATGTACTTTTAGGAGATATTCAACCCGTTTAATAAACCGGTCAATTCAGATTAACTATATTTATGTTGGATGTACAATCAAAGTGACACCCTTGATATTAACTTTAGTTTTTCTTGCAGCACCATTGTCGGAGACTGACACTGCTTTAATGGGAAGCCAAAGCTGGTTGGAGGACAACTCACATAATGTCGCAGGATCGTATTAGTGGTGCCAACAACTTCCAAGGGTTTGTTCCTTTGAATATAATTTAGTTCACATTATGTAAATCTTATTTGTTAATTCCATTTGAATCTTCTTCCCCAAGTAAAAATATTTAGTCTCAGTATTGAGTTTAGCTTAACGATCTGGTCTAGAATTCATCGGTGAGCGGGGCTGTGCTATTAACTATGCTGATCTACCTCATTTGGTTTTTGACTGTTTTTGTGAGAGGCTTTATGAGCGATTAATACATGTACTGTCGTGTACTTGTATGTATACAATTTTTTACTGTTCTATGATTTTTTGGGGAACATTTAAGCCATCTAAATTAAACTCACACACAAATTATATACATGTTTCAAATTTAGGACTTTTGGTTGAGAATCAAAGCTCTTTCAAGCAATAGATCACATGAACTGCATTCTATGAACGTGTAAACCACTTAGAAATGAAATACCAGTATTTAAATAAGTTATACAATCAATTCTACACATTCAATTTGAACTTATTTCTATGAGTTGTATATTTATTATTTGGTTGCAGGCAATTTCAGTTGTTTTAATTGTGATTTTCTATTATGTTGCTTTATGTGTGAATATATAAAATTGAGCGATTTATGGATTTTAAGATTTCGGTGGAATTTTACTTAACAAAATTTAGTCAATTTTATGAAATCATAAACATATTTTTAATTTGTCTAAAATCAAATGGGCATCCATATTGCTTCCGTTTACATCCGCAAGCATGTTTATTAGTAAAAACTTGAATTTGGTTTCTTAGGATCAAGCTGTTTTGAGCAATTTAAGCTTAGTGGTTGCATAGAAGTTTTATATAATCAATCTTCTGTAGTTTTATTTAAACATGCCCCAGTTTAGTTCTACTTTTCGGTAGATAATTTCTGGTCATTGGAACAACTTGAAGATATAAAGAACATGCTTTTATTTCACTACATGAGGTTATATGATTTTTTTTGTCTGTTTTATTAAGAGTTTAATTTTATTTAAATTTAATAAAAGACTTTTTTAAGAATTTCTAATTAGGTCTTTTTAAGTATATATTTATATTTTTTAATATTAACATATCTATTCTCTTGATAAACTTATCAGAAGGCTGAAGTTTTATGTGAATAAACAATCTATGATGACTCTAAGCTTATTTCATTTGAACTACTTGAAAATGCTCACAATTATATTCGCATATTGTTCATACTCAATGTCATGCGCAGCTCTTCTTCAGGTTGGTTTTTTTATTCTCTTGAGAAAGGAGTTCAATTTTATTATAAAATGAAATAAAAAAAAACGAAGGCAAAGCCACAAAAACAGTAGCAGAGGTCTTCAGCATCCCAACTTACAAAGGCATTCAATATCTGGAAATAAATATAAGTACAACTAGACACCAACAACACTGGCCAAAAAGCGCCGGCTAGCCAATGTTGGATTTTATTTCTTAATGAAACAATAGTTGAGAAGATTAAAAAGAGTACAGTAGCTCAAATGATATGGTAATTACATGTGTTAACGATGATAATTGGAATGATAATGAAAAATACCTCCATAAGTCCAAATCTAATGGCATGAACTTTATGAGGTAAAACACTAATAAATTTATTTCACCTTTAAAGCTTAGATTTGACTTGGTGGAAACAAGTAACAAGTTTTCTTGTTGAATAGAACTAATTAGTTATGTATATGGTAATCATATTTCTCTGCCCTCAGGTCTATGTTAAACTCTTTTCATGATTATATTGGTCTCATTGGTAACATTAACAAATCCGTTATTTGGTTCTCTAAATCTATGAACCCTTCAAGCTAAGATCATTACCCTCAAAATCTCTATGCAAATTAATGAATGTACCATAATATTTTTAAAATTATAGGAGAATGATTTAAAAGATTAATTTGACGCTCATTGATGAGTGGGTAAATCATATAAGTAAAAAAGGTAAATATTTTCATAAATTAATTTATTTCAAAGCCACTCTACCTGTCATTTGTGGTCAATCCGATTTTTCATGTTTTTAGAAGCTTTTAATTTATTTATTTTTTGCCTTTTAGTATTAGGGCATGTCATCAATCCATGTAATAGTTTTTTTTGCTCCTAAGGCTTCCTAAGTTGTCTATGCTTAGAAAAAGTCTATAAATAGGATATTGCTTTAGAATTTTGATTGATTGAATAAAAAAATATTTTTCCTTATGCAAATTTCATGTGGAAAGGCTTGGTGGCTATTCTACTTATTAGTAAAGCTTGGTGGCTAATCCTCAAGGGTTTTGGTGAGTCCTCAGTGTTCTCTTCTTGCCACTATTCCTCCTCTTTCCTGACACAATTTTTATCTCTATTACTTAGCCTTACGGTTAGCTTCCCAAATCCTAAATATATCCAAACACTCCAAAACTCTCTTTTATATACATCTCTCATACCCTTCCAAAGCTTCAAATCACTAAAAACCATAATATATGATAGCCGATGTTCCAATATAGAAAGACATTTTTTTCTTGCGATGAACTAAATTAGAAGTTTCATAACTTCTCTCAAACACTTATCCAAAATTCATAAAAATACAACCGTTAGTCCTCTAACATCCCAAACCTTTGATATGAAGTTTCTCGTTATTTTTATCCAAGGAATATCCATTTTTTTTAGCTTAGGATTTTTAAATGCAAATCTATCAAAAATCTTGAAATCCAACTTCACCACCACCCAAATAAGCATTATATCATCGCCCTAAGAGGACATCAATCAAATTGTTGTCTTCACCATAAAGATCCCAATGACACTATATAGTTTTTGGTATCAATGGCAAGTGGTCTAAAGAAGTCAATATTAAGGAGCTTGAAGGCACATGTCACTCGCTGCAAAAGCTAGAAATGTTTGCGGTAGGATCTAATTTATCCAGAATTAAAGAACTTGGTAAATACCCACGAACACAACAATTGAGTATCAGATATTTTTGGTGAAGAATTGATTTAATTTATGTTGTTTGCGTCGGTGTTTGTTTAGATTTTTGATATGGCTTGATGGCCTTTTGCATTAGGATAAGTTCCCCATAAAATAATAATTAGATCCATGTCCAAACTATCACCATTAGAAAATTCATGGGTTTTACTTCTCCATCCATATTGCTATGAGCAAAGAAGATCCACTTGTTTGCATGTGATGATGGATTTGGTGATCCATTTATCTTGTTGGAATAACTTGGTGAGTTTGCCCAAACTTGCATTATGGTGTTTTTTTCTGGTTCTCTTTGTTTTTTTTTTCAACATCAAGAATAAAATTCTTTTCTCAACTCCATTCTTTATGTGCATTTTTTTAATTTGGTGAACTAGATTACACCATTCGTCAAGGCTGTCCAATATTCATTGGTATCCCCCTCCACCCGATTGACTTAAGATCAATGTGGATGCTTCCCTACTAACTTCTTATAAAGATGGAATAGGAGTTATACGTGATCACAAAGGTAGATTTCTATTGGCTTTTGGTAAACCATATGTTCATTGGGACATTTCTTCATTGGAGCTTCTTGCTACTCAATCAATCAAGGATGTGATCAAGGATTGGATGTTCAAGTATAAGGGTATTATAATTGAAGGAGACAATGCTAATGTGATAAGGTTCTTACAAAAAGGAAACATAAGGTATGGTAATACTCAAATTTTTGAAGATTTTCATTCAATTGTTTTTAATTATGTTGATAGAAGATGTAATAAGTTAGCGGATTTATGTGCTAACTATGGGATTATGAGTTCTTATGTTTGGGATGGTGTTACCAACGACAAGATTCCTCCTCTCTTTATGTCTATATTAAAGGAGGAATCTAGTGTGGTAAGTCCTTAGTTTGTTCTTTTTTCTATTTTAATGCAATGCTATGCATTTTCTTCAAAAAAAAAAAAAAAGAACTAGATTACACCTTATGATATGATTAATTTGATTAAATTTTTTTCTTTTATTGAATAAATATGTTGTTATCAAGCTACAATTATATTATTTATTTATTTGCATAATTTTATGTATTTATTTTTATTTACTCTTATTTATTTATTTTTCTACATTTGTATTCTCTAACTCTTTAGGAAAGGAGTTTTCAAAAGGGAAGTTCCACTTAACAATGTTAGGATTGGACTGGGTTCTTTGTTCATTCTACGACAAAGAAGCCTTGGATGCAGTCTACACTAATGGCCCTTGGTTTGTAAATGGAAAGATCATTGGTATGGACAAATGGCCTCCAAACTTCAATCCGTCATCCTTAAAAGGGTTGTGTGCCCCAATCTAGATTAGGCTTCCTAACCTCCCACTCCATTGTTGGGATGAAATCAATATATGTAGAATTGCCTCAATGGTTGGAAAACCTCTCATGATTGATGGAAATTTGTTCCAATGGGGTAGGAGGGAGTTTGGAAGGGTTTGTGTTCGCATCAATTTGGACACTAACTTACCCCTAGGAGTTTGGGTGGAAGGGAGCTCGGGCAAGTTCTTTCAAAAGATAGAGTATGAAAGACTTCCAGATTTCTATTTTTGTTGTGGGAAAATTGGTCACACCAAGAACAACTGCTTGGAGATTCATCAAATAAAACCAATGTTTCAAAGGAAGATGGGGGAACTTCAAAGGTGTTGGTAGAAGGAAGCTCAAATCTCAGTAAAGCAGCAAATACTGCAGCTCCAAATGCAGAAAATATTGGTTACGGGCCTTGGCTTTAGGTCAATTATGATAGAAAAAAGGAATTTTAAAAATGCTGTCAGAAATTCCTTCCCTCGGGACAGTAAGGAAAATGCTGGAAATAAAACTGCAACTGTCAATAACCAGACGGTTTGGAAGGTAAGGGAAGCTGTGAAGATGTCAAATGTGGAGGAGCTGGTTACTCATACAGAGGAAGTCAATATTAATCCACAATCTAAGAACATTCAAATTCAAAACAAAGAATCCTTATAAAACAAGGTTGATAAAGGTAAGAATGTTCATTCCTCTAGCATTATCTATGCTAACAAATTCAGCATCCTAGATGAATTGGTAGAGGAAGGAGAAATTATATCTACATAAGTGGTTGAGAACAACTTGTGTGAAGAAATGAGAGGATCTATCAAAGACTCAGAAAAAGATCTTATCAACAACAGAGAGAATTTGAAGATTGCCAAAGAAACCAAGGATGGAGGATCCTCTTCTATTAAGAGGAAAGGTACTAAAAAGTTAAAAGGATTGGGTCCAATTAACATAGCTCCTAGGAGTAGGAGGGCTGAAGCTGAAAACAAAGATAAGATGGGGTCCTCATCCCCTTTTATTCAATGAATTCATCCATAGCATTTTGGAATTATAGAGGAGCTAGGAAGAGAA